GCTTTTCTTATCTAATTCCCTGTTTGACAATCTCTAAAAGCTGGCCTCCATCTGCAAAAGGTGCTCCTGTTGTCCAATGCAGTGAAGAACACACCAGAACAAAAGAAAGAGACATATTCTAGTGCAGGTGCCCCACACCCAGCTTGGGGACCTTCAGATTGAAAAAAATCTCCGTGTTCCATTTCCTCATTAGCAAAATAGGTATAACCATACACAGTCGGTGAAGTATAATGGATTAAAAACTACAGATTGCTTTAGAATGAGTTGTGAAAACGATCTTTAAGAAGAACTATCATCATTCTTAGGGGTCTGTAAGCTCTGGCTGCTGGACAAATCCAGCCTGCTGTCTGCTTTTATAAATAAAGTTTCATTGGAACACAGCCCCACCCAATCCTTTATGTATTGTGGCTTCTGTGCTACAAGGGCAGAGTTCAGCAGCTGCAATGGAGATCATATGGACCACAATGCTGAAAATATTTACTCTCCAACCTTTACAGGAAATTTTTTCTGATCTATCTTATCAAGAAACGTTTGATTTTCAAGCAAATAAGTTTTCATTTTCCCACATACATACAAAAATCCAATTGCTTAATATAGCATCTTTCACAACACAGGCCATAACTTTAACAGAAGACTTTCAATAATAATAATAAGCTGTATTAATAACATATAAGAAATCCATTACACAAGTTTTCTGCTATGTAAATTCATTGCTGTGAACAGAAAAGTCCTCAGAATTCATTTAAATTCATTTCTTAAAAGAAAAATGAACTCAGAGCTGAGATTTATTTCTGGTATATATTTTAGGAAAAAAATCAGTATAACATTATCCCTATTGTGTCTCACAGCAACAAGGGTGACAAAGCTGCCCAGAGTTGTCAGTGCCAAACACACTGTGGGAGCTCAAATATTAATCAAAATGACATCTCCAATTTTTTCCCTTCCTAATCAGGCCTAAACATCATGGGACATCTGGCAAATCAATAAGCAAAACTAGATGCCCTCATAACTCCCAACCTGGAGCTCTGCACTTTTAGCCAGAAGAAGGGGGCCTTCACTGCTGCATAGATACTTCTCTGCTTTGGATGTTTGCCTCTCCCATGAGAGGAGCATGCCTGTCTGTGATCCCAAACTTTACCCTCGCCTGCATCTGAATATGCCACCTATCACCAAAAGAAACACCTTTGACAGTTTCCAAATAAGATAGGTATGGCGGGTACATGGCTCTGGAATATGCTTGTGCATTCTACCACAGAGAATAAATAAATGAATAAATGAATCTCATGAATAAAGTGAGAATAGGCTGCTACAAAGTGTTTGTGAGAAACTAAAGTCTCATATCCCATCCTCCACACCTGGAGGGAGGTGGCACAGGGACTGGCCCATCCCCCATCCCCCAACCTTCCACCAAGGTGGGCTTTGGCTGCAGTTGAGAATTAATTAGTTTTGGCTTTTATCCCCTTCCCATGTCTTTTCTTTCTAGGTCTCTTTCTACCAAATCCTTATCCCACTGATACCTCGTACTTTTCTCTCTGTGAGCTCTGGAGTTGCTCTAGTGCTGAAAGATCTGATAAATGCCTTAGAGTCAATTTATTCCTCTTCCATGTATTTAGAAGAGTCAGAGTGCTGGAGAAATGGAGCAGGGAATAGGTCTGTCCATACCTGGAACTAACTTTGAACCTTTTAACAAAGCTAAAAGGAAAAAAAAAGTAGGAAAAATTGGCTGAAGTAGCAAATACACAGACTTCTACACAAGGAAGTGAGACATGCCTAGGTGAATTCCAGAAACCCTATGGGAGACTTGGAGGAGAAAGCTAAAGATCTACCTATAGTTGGGCAGCCAAGATCTAAGAGCCACCACAACTGCCAATTAATATGAAGTTAAGATAAACTCAATTGTATTCAATCTACTAACTTCTAAGAAAACTTGGGTTAGTTTATTCATTCATTCATGTGCTAGGCACATCAGTGAACAAGCACATTCCGTACCCTCATAGACCTCGTTGCAGCTGAATTGTTTTGGTCTTAGCTGGTACTTTTCCCCCTAACTTTATGAAACTATAGAGGGAAAGTCTCCCTAATCCTGGATTTTCCCACCTTTACAGGAAAAGGATAAAATAGATATCAAGTACAGCAAACATAATGGAAGTAACTTAGCCAGATGAAATACAGCTTGAGAAAGAAAAAGTAGTTCAATAAATTGAAAAAAAAGCCAATACCAGACAGACGAACAACACAGACTTATTCAAAAGGAATGAGCGTGGTGAGGGGTTAGGTTGTCAGCCATCTCCAAAGAGTGTTGTGGAGCTCAAATGAGGTCATCAACTGGAGGATGCTTTAGCAAAGAGGCGCGTCGCAAATGTGAAGGCGATGATACAATTACTGGTAACATTTTCACCAACTGTGAGCTTAGGTTGAGTTAAGCTTGTTTATAAATGATTACTGTAGATAACCAAGGGATAAGCAGCCTCATAACTTCATTTGGAACAAGTATTCTATAAGTTAATTTGACACTACACATGTATGTATCATTCGATATGGCCGTTCTAAAACAAACTTTTTAAAAAGGGAACAATATAAATAACCAACTGTAGGAGATTCCTGAGTAAAAGCATCGCGTGTCCATAATGGCCACTATGCCAATTTTTGTCCATTTGTCAACCCACTCCTTCCTTCTGCTACCCTCCTATGTCCTGCTCTGTGCCCCTGCCTGATGTCTAGAACTGAAAATCTTTCTCTCTGACTTCCAGATGGATTAAATTAAGGAAGGCAACTGCAGAAGGAGAGAGGAGAGACTTTCTTCCAGTCTCTGTCTCAGTACTGCATTTCTGGTGGGAGCTATTTCTCTTCCATGACTTCACAGAGTATCCAGTTCTCTTTGGCTGACCTTGCACTGGGTTCCAGTACCACTCTTCTCTCGTCTTTCACTTCAGCCCTAGAGGTGGTAAGAGCTTCCTGACACTGCTAGTGTTTGGGTGACGGCCTCACTATCCATTCCTTGTATGTTACCTAATTCTTATCCACACCCCTATAAACAGTCCTTTCATTAAAGTCTCTTCATTCAACCCACCTGGGCTGAATTCAATTTCCTGTCAGGACTGTGACTGAAATACAATATAGACATCTATTTATTGACAGAGAAAGCTGTCTGACAGAAAGTAGATCAAAATATTAATAGTGGCTATCTTTAGGCAGTAGAATAGGATTATCAGGTTTTTTTTTTATGTTTCTCTGTATTTTTCAACTGCTCTACAACATTTGATTATATATTTTTGGGATCAGAAAAATAATAAAATTAAAATAAGATATTGGAATAAATATGGTTTCAAGAAGTACTAGTGGTTTAGCTTCCCACCTTTACTGCCCACCCCATCAAAAATACATAAATAACAAGGTGCATACCCTGAAAGGTATCCCAATGGGGCAGTGGAACCATAAACACTTGTGAGTGCCCCAATATTTTTATTCATGCTAGACTCTGTTTTCGAGGAAAAATGTGTTTGATTAGCAAGTATTTACAATTTCACAATTAAAAAAATTCAGTTGCACACATCTATAAGGGTATGTGTTTTATAAAACAGATTTGGATTTCACAAGCACAAATCAAAATTTTGTCACATTCTTTGATAACGCTGACAATAGTTAACTCATACTTAGGGTTTGGCACCTACAGGCACTGTTTACAAGCATTGTAGGCACTTGTTAATGTAATCGTAACAGGAAGGGTAGTATCATTACTCCCATTTCACAGATGAGGAAACTGACATGCAGTGAAGCCAAGTTAATTTGCCCAAGGTCATATGGTTCTTCATTAGCAGGTCCTGGAGGCAAGCCCAGGCTTTAGAGCCTGTCGTATCCATTATAATCAACTGTTACTCAAGTTGATAGATTACCTAAGAATCCTAAACTCTCCTGATTGTGTGAATATGTGCAAAGAACAATGGGAGCCCTCATCTTGGTTCACCACTTATTAGCTGTGTAATCTCACACATTTACAAATCAGAGCTACAAATTCCTCGTCAATACAGGGGGCTATGATACCTCTTCTACCCACCCTAGAGGCTGTGATAACATAGTGGGGAATGAGCATGAAAGCCCATCAGAGCTGTAAAGCACGTCACAGGTGTCAGGTGATGTTACCGTGATGTTATCGTGCACCTTCTAGATACCCTCTGTATGCCATCATCATTAATATACGAAAGCCCATTGTAAAGAAAATAGCAATTATTTTTGGTGAAGTATGGCTCTAAACTATAATATTATAAACTATCCAGCCTGTTAATAACACCCAACATAAAACCACCACTGATTAATCAATACACATCATGCAATGGTTTCAGTGAAATGTACTCTCCAGTGCACTCCCTTGACTCACATTCATTAATTACCTCTCCTTATTTGATATGTTACCAGCATTTGCCTGAAATATGTTACTCTTGATCTTAAGTTATATAGTGAAACTTTTTTTTGAAAACTTTTAAAGTTCAACCTATACATTCTCTATAATATGATATCAAACATTCAGTTGAACCACTCAGTTTTCAATTTCCCTGACTCAACTTTTTGGAGATTTGTAATTAATTATATTCCATTATTACTGATCATCAATTAGCTCAAAATGTTGCTGAGATGGCGAGGATGCTGAAGAAGGCAGAATTCAATGATAATTTGAGACTAGTAGTAGGACACTAAATTTCTCTCTTGTTAATAATTAAAGTAGATAACTTATGTTTTTATTTATAGCTTCCAGAAATATCTGGCTCATTCCTGTGCACTGCTCTGTCAGCTAATCATCAGGGGGTCAGGATCTGACTTGGGCCATTGTGTTTATTTTCCATACGTGCCTCCAAACAAAGCCATTAAATGCAGCCCAAATGAAGGTTAAAGCAAGGGGACTTTTACTTTTTTTCTCTTTTTTTTTTTTTTGAAACTCTCCATGCAGCCAAATGCTTTGATGTATAAATACAGAAAGGATGAAAAGGGGTAAAATTTCCATTTACCTGTTTCAATTTCCCAGATGTAAACAGAGTCATCTGCACATCCAACAATTAGAAAGTTCTCAACCGGGTGCCATTTTATCATCCTCACAGGGAAAAGGTGCTTCCGAGCACTCAGGAGGCACCTCCTCCCTTCAAGGTGAAGGAGAGCCACGGAATGGTCACTGCACACGCAGCAAATTACCTGATTACTTCGTAGCTGTGGAAAAAACAAGCAGCATTCTTTGTAAGTAAATATTCAAATGCTTTCTTTAAAATTAAATCAGATATTTTTCCTTGAGTAACATAAATTTTTGTTCAAACCCCATTTACAAAATGACAGTTCGGCACCTCCCCACATACCACTGCACAAGGAACCTTTAGACACCAAGTAGATTTTAAATTCAGAGACCTATTAGGAAGGTCAAAAGATGCAAGTAAAAAGGAGAATTCCAGGCCAGATCTACTTATAAGATAAACGAAGGACTTGACCATCACTCAGCAGATTCAGGCAGGGAGGCAGACATCGGAAATAATGCAGAATAAAACAAACCCCAGAACTAATTTGTTGCCACAAAAAGAAGCTATTTGTAGACACAAACTTAGGCCCAAGGGTATCATGAGCTAATATTTTCCACTTAGAGCCTCAGAATGTGATTTGGTGCTGTTCCCAGAGCTATACAGATTCTAATCCAAACAGGAAACTCAGTGTAGACACAATCTAAAAGAGGTAAGCATTAGATACTTCCAACTGAATGTACAGCTTCGAAGATACAAGGGCCAAAAATAGTCTCACAGGACAAAGATTCTTAAGATACCTTTTAAGAAAGTCAGCATGCAGTTACCTTGAGCATAGTTTAGGACAAAGAGCATTCTCGCTGGGTGCTGCTGAGGCCAGTCTGGGAGAAGTTCACAGCGCAGCTCTGTGCCTCACCATGAGGGCCACGCATTAGTCAGCCCAGCAGTGGGGCAGGTGGGCTGTGGTGAGGACAGGGAGTGGCAAGCTCCCCCTGCCCTCTTTTTTTCTCCTCCAACCACTTTGCTGTGTGGATGCTCCTGTTTTCACTAAGGTGCTTAGCCAGACTTCTGGCTGCTATGTTAAAAGCATCAACTGGGATCCCTTGATGATCTCCCAGTGCCCATCACTGACCTCTTTCTGTGGGGCACTGGAGAGAACGTTAATTTTTTTAAATTTTTTTAAGGAGACCTCAGAAATCCTGAAGGAAAAAAAATCACAAAATGGCAGGTATGATATATAGGGAGCCTGGACTTGTAGAATGGGGTTGATGGCATTGCCCTCCCCACCCTCACTACCACCTCTTGGTGAACCTGCCCACGCACAGCTTCTGTCCAAGGGACTTCAGGAAACTCATGTACATAAACTCACACAAACATACAACACATGAACATATATATAATATGTGAATACAGATCTTATGACCAGGAGTGGAAGCACGCCAGAGACCCACCCACATTACGTCCATCAGATTCTCTTTTCTAAGCATTTGAAATTGTGAAGCTAAAAGAAGGCATAGTAAGAAGCAAGAGAAAGGAGCAACCACAGAAAAGCAGACCATTCTGGGGTAGTGGATGTAAGGAGTAACCTTAGTTTTTGAATTTAAAAGTTGCACTGTAGGTCCTTGCTGTAGTGGTTTGTCTTGGATGCCTAAGAGTTGCCTCATATGCCCTTTCTATCAATTCAATTTTTATTTGGCTTTCTTTGAATGTGTCCTGATCTTTGGAATTAAATCATCCATAACTGAAGCAGAAGTAAAAGGGGTCAGTTGTGAAACTGACTAGAATTACTGTCCTGGAGCTAAAGGGGAAAAAAATGCTTTTTTAAAAAAAAAGGGTGGGGTGTGTGGGGCTTCAGGAATAAAAGACGTATCAGGGTATCCCAAATCACCACACAGAATTTTTTTAGGGGGTCATTTAACTTTATTTCTCTGTTTCATTTAATCATTTGTGTTGCTGAAATATTGCTTTCATTTTGTCTTACTACAAAAATGCAGTGTAAGTTTTCTCTGATTTTACTTTGGAGCTGATTTTTTGTAATATTACTATGGAGAAATAATTTTTACAAGTCAATCAACTAACTTATAAACTCAGGAAACTCAAACCTTGGTAGTTCATGTTTTATCAAAGATATCAGCTTGATGTAAGCTGAATTTAAGTTGACATTATATGAGAAAATTATACCTGAAAGTATTTCTTTTTGCTTGGCACAAGTTAGGTGCTCTTAAGTTTGTTAAATCTTGTTATTTGTTAAATAAATGAAAGAGCAAACAAAAATTTATTTAAAAAATAAAATGTAACTATCAATATTATTATAAAAGTAAATTGTTTAAGGCAAAAGTTAATTCTAATTTATGATTCCTATATATTTGAATTGTTTTTCCATTGAGTGTCTATTGCTTCTTAAAAAAAATTATTCCATTAAAAATTGATAAGAACTAAGACAAAAAAAGAAAAAGGTAAGTACTTACAGAGAATTAACTGGCTTTTGTAAAGCCAAGAACTGATGGGACCTTTGCTTTAAAATTATAATAATAATAAAATACATATAAAGAGGTTAGAAAATAATTCATAAAAATCATTCAATTATATTATGTATATGTTTTTCTTTTCTGTGGAAATGAGTTATTTTTCCTTATTTTTTAAACATTCTTTTATGTTATATAACTTAAATGTATGTGTTATGTTTTACTCTTTATCTTAACTTACTTTGAAATTCTCTGGTGACATCAAAAGACGTGTTACTGGACCAGCTTGCAAAAAGAATTTATGCAGAATTCCTTCAGTAAAGATGTCCCACAAGATGACCCATGAGTTCTGGTCTCCAGATATCAGCCAACTTTGGTCTAATTTTGAAGAGAGACCATGTGGGTAAAGCAAGGATGTAACACTGTGGTGGTGGCCTTTGAGAACTTTGTGAGGAAGGGAACCTGGAAAACCAAATACCAAGTAATGAAAAAGGGACTTTTGTTCAAGAAATAGTCCTGAGATTTTCTTTTATAAATTTTTAATGTAAGGAAACTACATAAAACTAAAGGTAGGCAGTTGACTAAGAAAATTAATGAACAATCCTTGAACTATCTCGAAAGGCAAGTGCCTCATTATAACCCAGGTCATGCTTCTGACAGAACACTAAAGCTGCTGTTCAAAGTCTACTAATTTCTTAAGGATGTTAACAAGTTGCCAATTCCAGTGCCATGAAATAGCAAACTCTGTTCTCAAGAAGTGAACAATTCATACATTTTGTCTCAGAACATTACTGATGTCCTTTACAATAGCATGACCAAGTCTAGTATAAAAGAAAAGCCAAGTTTCACAGAATATTTTTGCTTTAAAGGATAGAGATTACCTAGTTCCACTGCTTTGTTTTACAGATAAAGTATCTGAGGCTCAGAGAGGTTAAGTGTCTTGAATCCAAGTGTGAAGAAACACAGCGTAATATTTAAGAACCTAGCTTTGCTGTTAAAGAAACCTGGCTTTGTTTTTCTGGGTCTGTCACTTACTAGATGTATCACAATGGACAACTAGCTTTTTCCCTCTAAGGGAGCAGCATCTGAAAAACTGGGGTAATAATAGCATTTACTTCACATAAGACTGTTGTGTGGAATAGTAAGATAATGTCAATAATTTCTTAGCACTGGCACTTGGTAGGAACTGGGTATTTTCATAGCAGAGCTACTCTAGAACACAGGCTTAGTGATACCTAGTTTCCATACTGCTTCTTCCTTAGCTAAACCTAAAAATCATTAGCTAAACCTAAAAAAAAAAAAAACTGGGGAGGGCCACAGACCACAAACTCTCTTTATCCACATTGAAAACGAGTTTCAGTGAATCATTATTACTTCTATTAAAGAATCATTAGGTACTTCTACTCCATCAGGCACATACATCCTCACTTCGTATCGACTAGCAAACCTAGATGAATATTAATGCAGATGCTACAGGTCAAATGTAGGTTTCTGCTTGTTTTGGATAAGATAAAAAAAGCCTAGATAAAAAATGTTAAGGTTTTAAGCTTTTTTACTAGCTTTTAACAGCAGTCGTTGAGATGTACATCAGCACACTACCTCTCCTCTGTTCACTGCTACTCATGCCTCTGTTTTAATCACTGAATCATTGAAAAGTCAGGAAAATTTAGTTAAGTAGCCAAAGTAATTGAGAACAACAGTAGGCAATGTAACAAAGTTTTGTTTTTGTTTTGTTTTTTTTAATTGAGATTTGGTCTCTGTCCTTAAGGACTTTGCAGCCTAGTAGGATCTATACAATAAAAAATGGTATACAAATTTACCTGTACAACCCCAAATCTCAAGCACCTGCTATATCTCCTTCCATTACATGAGAAAACTTACTGCATGATAGTCTTTGATAGGTATTCGCTGTTGCAACGCACAAAGATAAATAACACATTTGCATTTCTTTAACAAAAAATTAAAAATTTAAACAGGATGATATTATTTTCTCCTGACTGGCAAAAATTAAGAAGTTAAAATGCACAGAAAGTTGGCCAAGTTTGGAGGAAAAAGGCAATCTCATGAGCTGTTAGTGGACACACATGTATATGGATGTATGTTCTTTGGAGAACATTTTTAGATATATTTTCAAAATTAAAAATGTACGTAAATAAACGTTGACCTAGTAATTCTACTTCTGGGAATTAATACTATAGATATACCCAATATATATGTGCAAAGATAGTTAATTCTGCATTGTCTGTAGTAGCCAAAGATTAGAAAAACTTAAACGGCCATTAATAATCATTTAAAATGAAGTCATAGAGAATGTGCTCCAAAATATTTCATTAAGATTTAAGGACATTTTAGTAAAGTGTGTAGAATGTGGTTCTATTTGTACAAATAATTAAAAGAATATATACTGCTATGTTAGTATATGCTTTTATGTGCATAGAAAATTTCAAAAAGTATATAAAGAAACTTATTAGCAGTTGCCTTTGGTGATATTTCTGGAGATCAAAGAAGGAGAGAAATGTATTTCTCATTGTATAACCTATTTGACTTTTTAAAAAAAAACCCATGTGTGTTTTACTTTAACATTAAAACATGCACGAATTTATTAGCAAATGCGTAAAATTTTTTAAGCTTGAGCAATCTTCTTAGTATAGCTTATTACAGTTGAAGTTTAGATAAATAAACAGGGTCAAATAAAATTCAATGACCTTTTAATAAAGAATTGCCTTCTAGAAGTCCTGCTTTGGCAGCATTCAAAGCCTGTGTAATGAAAATTGTCCCATCTTCACAGCCACATATTAGTTTATCATGACTTGGAACATACTCTGACGAAGTGACTACCGCAGTTCCAGTCCCATCTTTAAGCCCAGAGAAATGGTCAGTAATACTTTGTGACATGCTATGATGCTTATCAAAATTATCTTGAAGGGTCCAAGTGGCAGTTATTGGTATCTCTAAAAGGAAAATACACGAAAAAGGAAAATTTGGTTTATAAATTCATCATAGATAGAGAAAATATTATCAAAACACTATACTGTGGGGGTACATAGTGGACTTTAGGCAGAAAAGCTTTCCTGCCACCCATTTTCTTCACTCCAAATGCTATTTTATTGGTCCTCTTCAGGGAGCCTCAGAAGAATAGATGTGTATGAGTGCATTCATTTTAGACTTCGGTCAACTGAAAAGAATGGAGAAACTCCTGCAGTGATGCAAAATGGTAGAGCAATCTCACGAGTTCTCTGTTTGCCTTAATGAATAGAGAATGTGAAGAAGGAAGACTAGGGGTCTATTAGTTGTGTGGGGTAAAGGGAAGACATTTTTTTCTTTAAATGTCAAGGATATGAATACTTAAAAATCATACCAAGCCTCCAAGCAACTACCTGCAGCTACCAAGAGCACTGGTTATCATTTGATATGGCTGGCCACCCCAGCACATGAACTGGGCTGCAGGTGGGCTCAGGAAATGAGAGGCTTGGCATCCCAGAGCAACTTAAAGCCAATCTACCTATCTAGGAAGGGGCCTCCCTGACCTTGCAGTACACATGTCACAGTGACTGTGAAAACCTTGAGCCCAAACCTTAAAACTAGCACCAAGAGCTATCACAGACATTTATGGCTCTAATTATAAAGAAAGTTGACTAGATACTTAGTTCTGCTGCTGGAAGGAGGGCAGACATGACAATTCCCAGAGCCACCACCAAGTGGCCTCCACAGGGGGCATGGTATGCTTTTTAACTCTTAAAATTGTAAGAAACTTTCCCACACACTGTACCCAGTTCTAAGTCTGTTTCTTGACTCATTTCTTATTAATCTAGCTCTACTATGAACCATTTAAAGACATTTGGGACAGGGACACTTAAAGTTATACCAGTGAATTTGTTAACTAATGGAAACTTGTACTTAGAGTGCAAGTACTGGGGGCTGTGTTTCTGCTGTGCCCCAGACAGTGACTCACAGAGATGCCTCACCGACTCTGGAACAAGGGGAAAGGAGCAAGATGAGGTTCCTCAGTTTGGAATACACAGTCTCAGGAATTTGAAAGTTCTCCACAATAATATTTACTTTGTTTTATATTCTAAGAAAAATTAAAACAAGCAAATGCTAAATCATCTAATCATTCAAACTGGCAAATGTTTTAGTGCCTAAGTGTACATCTGTGCTTACAATTTCAAGCAGCTTTAATAATCTGAGTAGAGAATTTGGTTGAAAAAGGGTACAGGACACAGACATGAAAAATCCCAAAATATGAATATGGTCTGTCAGTCTGTTCTATACTCATATTGCCAACATTCATTTCAATTCAGTAAAATGTCATTCATGTTAAATTGATGTTAATTTGAATTATATTGGTCACATTGTTGCTTATAAGCATCATGTTTATACCTACTTTTATGTTGGCATCTAATGCATAGTGGTACATGAGAACTTTTCTTGTTTTATAGCCTCATGTTACTCAACTTAAAAAAAAAGACACTGGGTTAATTATAAAGTAGTTCTCAGAAGACATGTGATTAGAAATATAAATTGTCTTACCTCTAGGAGAACCATCAAACTTGGATACAGGGACATCAGGGATGTGCCACAAAGTAATTCTTCCTGAGACTTCTCCAGAGAAAAGCACCTTATAAAAAGGCTCTTTCCTTTCATTCATGTAGCCCATAACAAAGGGAAGGCTCTGGTCCAAATAAAAAAAATAGCATTTGTATAGAAAAAGTATCTGTAACAAATTCCAAATAACAGCAGCCACTGTTTTTAAATGGAGGAACAAGATTTCATAGATGAACTAAATTATTTCCATTTATTTCTGACTGTTTCAAAATTTTCAGGTAAATTAAGTGAAATAATCTCTCACTCAAGACAAACAAGTTTCTATAAAATAAGAAGCAAAGTCATCAGCTACACTTCAGAGAATTAATAAGAATATCTACCATTTATTGAACATATTCTGTGAATGTATTACACATACTGTTAGGAGATTTGCGTGTATTTAGTTAAATGGTCCTCATGATAATCCTGAGAAGTTGGTACTATCATTGTCTTCACTTTACAGATGAATACTCTGAGAAGGAAGTGGTTAATTTATCTAAGGTGATGTAAGGTCCAGTAATTTTGACTCAAGAACTCATGTCTTTTTTTTTTAATTTAGAGAATACTTTATTAGTTTCTGTAATCAAACCCATGTAGATAAGACCTTACATATTTAATACAGTGAGTTACCCCTACACAAATGGAAAGAATTATGTTTAGCCTTTCTAGACCAATATGAAGAGCCTAAATCTTGATGACAAGGCTCTACTGTCCACTAAGGAGGCCTGATTTCTTTATGATCCCTTCAGTTCAAACTGTCAGTTAAAACAGCAACAGCTCATATTTGTATGGTAATTTTGTGGTATTAATACACTTTCTACTTTCTGTTGACCATTTTTCAGATTTAATATACTTGATTTCAAATTTCCCAAATGGTCACAAAGAAAAATGAGCCTATGTTTTATGTATGTGTGTGTGTGTGTGTGTGTGTGTGTGTGTGAGATATTAATATAAGTGAATATATGTTATAATTTATATAAATATATTATATATTTATGTATATAAAGACATAATTTTGCTGAGGCAGAATATAAATATTGGGCACCACAGCTCTGGAAGACACACTTTCACTAGTGAATGAGTCTCGAATCTCCCTAGGACCTCAGTGCAGAGTAAATGTTCTCTGGGCACACTTGTATAGAGAAATTGAAATGATTGATTAGAAAAACAAGAAAAAAGCCCTCCTTTATGTATAAATAAAAAGCACCCTGAAAAGAAAGCCAAGTTCCAGTGCTAGAATTAATGAAGTCTAAGAAAGTGTTTGAAGGTCCAGGCTTAGATATTTTAGAGGGAAAATTCTATCATGTATCTTCAGAGACAATTAAAGGCCAAAATATTGCTACATTTAATGCTCACAACAAAGCTACAAAGTAAATAAACACTGTTACTATTTCTGTTACAGAGATAAGTAAACTAAGAAAGAGAATAAGAAGCTAATTCTCAAGACCATGCAATCAAGATATGGAATCCTCTATTGTCCCAAGAAACAAGAGCATTGAAGAGAAAACAGTTCCAATGAAGTGAGTTCTTGGAATTTTTCTTCTTCTTTTTTTTTAAGATTCAGAAGGCACTTTGGGATCTCATATTTCTGTTCTCAGGGCCATCATTTTTGTGTGTTAGAGATGTGTTGATAAGATGTTGTCAGAATGACTTTTCAAACTCTCTCAACCTTTGGGGACCTTAGAATTCACCAGTCCAACTCTCTCCTGACTCTGCTATGAGGGTGAAGTTCCAGAGAGGCTGGGCAGCGCTCAGGTAGGGGGCTGCACAGCTCCTCCCTCCCAGCGACATGTGCTGCCTCTCCAGCCCACGATCCCCGTGCTGCTGTCTTCCCCTCCACCTGCACTTCTGTATTCCCATTCCTAACTTGCTTACACTCACTCCTTGACACCTCAGTCCTCCTCCTTTCCAGCAGTTCCCTCTCTGCTCTACTCTTCACCTGAAAACTCCCTCAGCTCCTTACCGTGTAAAGTCATAATTTTTTCATCACAGTACCCTGTACTCATCACAGGAAGGACCCATCCTCCAAGAGGCAATTAAGTAGTCATCAAGAGTGAATTCTCTTGGGCTAACTGCCTGGATTCAAATCCTGGTTTTAGCACATACTAACTCTATTAGAAGAGCCAACTACGTCTTTATTCCTTTGATAACTACGTAAGTTTAAAAAGCTAAAGATCTAATCTGTTCTTAGAAACAATAATTAGTACATATACGTAAACTAAAAAAAATATGCAGTATACTGTATATCTGTATTTACATGCAAAAAAAAAAAGGCCAACTGCTTGATTTAGGCAGTTTACTTAACCTTGCTGTATCTTGTTCTCCCTAAGTGTGAAAGAATGCTAATAAATGAAAGCACCTACTATATGGGACTACTGTCAGGATTAATGAGTTGATAAAGGTAAGGTGTTTAGAATGGCATGAGGCATTTGGTACATACTCAATAAACAGTAACCATTCTTATTATCCATTCTCAAAACAAGTGGGGAACTTACTCTGAAGTCTGTTCCCAGACTCTGGGGTTAAACTTCCTGAGTTCAAATGCTGTGAATTAACCTCTCTGAACATCAATTTCAAAATGGGGTCATGGTGAAAACTCATGTAAATGAGGCAGTGTGTATGTTTAACAATACTAAGGACTCAAAAAAAGTTACTTTACCATCATCATTGCTGTCATTACTCTTAGTTCACACACCCAAATTCCTTATCTGCCCAACCCTCAGGTTGTTTCTATCCCATCGACTCCCATCTCAGCACTGCAGTCTTACTTCACAGCTAGGGCCCTGGGAAGCCCAGTTTCTCGTCTTGGCATCCAGGACTCATGCCCCAGGCTCTGGTGATCATTAGCTATGATTTGAAGCTAAGGAGACTCTCATGAAGCTACTGGAATTAAGGAGGAGTCCCCATTTTTGCTACTGTAACTCCATCAGCAGGTAGGTTTCTGACATCACATGAGAATATGTTACTGTCAAACACTGAGATTTAATTCTGCAGCGTCAGTCCAAAAAACGTTTACAGAGCATGATTTTCTAAGTTCACTGTATCTATCAAACTCACCTCCCTACCACCAAAATGCCTTCATTACCTTGTAACTGCAGGAGACACTAAGAAGTCTTGTATTTAGTGAATATTGACAGTTTGAATTGGTTTATTAGCTGGATAAAGGGCAAGCAAGAATCTAAGGATGGGGAGACAGCTTTTTTTAGTTTCAGATTATTCTATTCGTATTTCACTGGCTTCCAAGTACTTCCCACTTTTATGATACAGAAACAACTGTACTTGTCTCAACAAGAATTATGGTATTGATAGAAGACTCACAAATCTATGCCTTCACATTTTGAGAAACAAGCAAGATGGCTTCCCGTAAGATCAGTATTTTTAAAGTTAATTGTAATTGTTCTTTCCCCTCATAGTTATGTATAGCATTGATACTTGTCGTAGGTGAGAAGCTCCTAAAGGACACTACTTAATATTTAGCTTTTATGTTAAACTGTGCTTTATAAAAATGCATTCAGGAGCTAAAAAGGAAGAAAGGGCAGGTGTTTTTTAAAAAAAATAGCTAAAAATGCCTTTCTGAGCAAGTCACAATACCGCTTTGGCAATCAATAGCAAATCAGGGCTCTACTGCCACCCATAAATGACTTTAGAAATAGTGTTTGGTACTGTAACTCTAAAGTTTGCCTATGCCCCAGTGGCACTTGGAGTTTTAATTTTTGGTTGACAGCTTCTTGATAATCAAGCTTTTGCAATAAAACCTCACAGATACGTTAAGGAGGTAATACTGAACCATAGGATTTGCAACAGCTATGCTGCGTAATTAAGCAAGCCATCACTGTAAAAAGTAACATGCTTCATTGTTGACACATCAATAATTCAGAACTCCTCCATTCTCCATGAAATACTTTTTTGGATAATTAACTGATGACTCTATCCAACAGGTTAAAAAAAACACTTTGGTTGACACTACTGAAATAAAATAACTGTTTAAATTTTCAGGCTTCATGGAGTGTCAAATATACAGTTCAATCAAGTAAAAGCTCACAATTACATCCTCAACTCGCTGCCAGAAATCATAATTATATTTGTTTTAACAAGAAAATTTATTCAGAGGAATAACAAACTACAAGTGAAAATGATCTCAATATACAGTGAAATGAAAAAAATGGATATAAACCATTTGATAAAGTTTAAAAATTGGAGTAGATACATCAAAATGTTAATAACTTTGTATTAAACCATCTATCAAAAGGGTCAGTGAAAAAAATGTGTGAGTATGTACATATATAGAGAGAGAGAAAGAGAAGAAATTAATATGGCAAATGTTGACAACTGGTGAATCTAAAGGGTATATGACTGATCACTGTACTATTCTCAAACCTTTCAAATATTTGAAAAATTTCCAATTAAAATAAGTAATTGCATAAAGTAAAAAATATTTATAGTGAATATTTATGGAGGTAAAGTTAGGAATTTTAATTCCTCTCTTTTTAAACATTTATAATTTTTCTATAATAAATATGTATTGTTCAGTTAATTAGACTTAAAAAATAGATTTTTTAAAGGCAAAGTGTTCTCTTTAGTAGCCATTAACAATTAGATTTGATTTTATCATTAACAACTTGATGTGATTCTTCAATTCAATTTTTTCAAGCCTGATTCTGTTACAGACAAAGCAACACTTATCTGAGAAACGGAGTGAAACAGCTTTGAGGCAGTCACTCTTTTCTTGCATTACCTTATTTTCCTGCCCAGATGTAGAGCACAGTAAATGAGGATAAATGGTCTCTTTAAGCACTCTTCCATCAGCAGGGTATATGCCTTTTGAAAGCCCACTGCGTAGCGAAAAATAAAAAGCAAAGTTTAGAACTTTGGGGTTTTTATTTGTTTTTTCCTTTCCCGCTTTCAAAAGCCGGATGGTACCATTCAAGTTTCTAAACTCTAGTTAGAAATTGTTGGGTTAATAATTACAAGTGACTTTTTGAAAACCCAGCACCAGCTGTACAAGTTATACATGGTTAATCTCATTCCTTCATCCCCTGCTGTTTTATACAAAGGCCGAAGCCTACCAAGCCTAGAGTAAATCTTCTGGTGCCAAAGTTGTTTTGTTCTGGTTTTTGATCATGGCAGCGTGCAGGGATTTTTCCATAATAAACCTCCCAAAGTTCATTTGCTACCTGAATGTTTTGTATTCTGCTCCCATCTGAGCCCACCTGTTCAGCAGCTGATAGATATAACTGTGACCATCTTCTGTCCAGATGATGATTCTGTGAGCAGCAAGCACCTCTCCACCAGCAAACAACTGCCTGCTCCCACTAACTTCAGTCCAAAGAAGGGAAAAATCACAATAATCGTAAACCTAAAATATGGAATTAATGATGCATGTTAACAAAAGCTTCCAATCTAGTTTGCCAAGGAAATGAAACAAATTATGGTTATCAAGGCTGCTTAGATGACAATGTTGATGCAACAACATATTATTAATAACAGGCCACACTGCACTTATGTACCAAGATAACATTTTACCGGTGCTTACTTTTCTCACATTTAACCTAGGGTAGGTATCAGTGGATAAACTTTATCTGATGTATCATTCCAGAATGTGCCTATTAAGCACAGAGACCAAAAATCCCAAATTTTCTGTGTAATTTTATTAATTCCATATGGATAGTCAAACTTAAACATTTGAAAATTTATCACACACAAAAAAGTTTATGCACTAAAAATCTTTTGTTAGATCATGTACTGTACATTTTTGTTCAAAGATATATTATCAGCCTCTAAGTAAGACAATATAGGTTTATTAACTGAGCCAAGTATATGAAACTTTAAAGGAAAAAAGAATGCTATCAAGTGATAGTAACTTAGCTTTTCTTTCTTCTTGGAGAAGTTAGTAAATACATTCACAAGAAAGGAATGCATATTCTCTAAAAATAAATATAGTGATAAAACAGGAAAAGAAAAAAAATCTAAAAATAAGACCAATGTATGTAGGTGAAAAATATTAGTTTTCTTTTAAATTCTAAAGTGCATGTATCAACTTTTTAAAACAATCTGAGATAAATGCTCATTATTATTATGGTTTGTTATTAATAAAATTAGTATATACTTTATATATACAATATCCTGGCATACAAAACTGCTAAATGCAGGGAGAGGAAAACTGATAGAAGTCAGTCAGAAAAGACAAGTCATTCATTGCTGTGGTATTAATAGCATAAAGAGTTTGTATCATAGTTAAAATATATTCTGATAATTATTGCACTAGAGGTAAAAATCAAATTACATGTGTATATCCCTTGTATTTATTATGTTATTTCAGAGTACCTGCCAACATTTAGAAAATACCACCAGTAGAAGTCTCTCTGTATATGTGCAAAATCGTATTGTCTGGCAGTTCAGGCAGTTGAGAAATTTGGATTCCTTTTCATAAACGTCTTTCTTTTCCTTCAAAAGGAGTAACAACATTTTATTAGTAACAGTTCTGTGTAATTTATATGAAATTGTATGAGAAGACTGCTCCCCTGTAAACCTGAAGTAGATCACACCATTATTATTTTAAAAAGTATCCCATTTTCCTTTTGAGTTTTCTGAACTAAGAAATTACTTTGCAAAAGAAACTGTGAAGAGGAAACCCATTCTAATTCAAGGATTTGTTATACACAAGCAACTAACAAAACATCCTGTCGGGGAATATGCTGCAGAATACTGAAAATGTAAAGATACGAAGGAGTTACTGCTTTTCAGACGTGGCAGAAAGATAAGACAAAAAAGTAAAAGAATTTTTTAAAATCCCTGTACTATCTTAATTGTTAAAATAGAAAAACAAAATGCTTTGAAAAAACAAAAGAGTGGACAGCACAGAACACCTAGAATACTGTGTTCTCAAGTTTCTAATGATGCTGTGTGTGTGTTTCTTGGGGTCAGTATTGCCAACACAATTCCCAGGCTTTCCCAACCAAGAAATTCTGAAAGATAGCTCCAGAGCATGGGGCAGTCAAAACAGTTTTGTCACTAGCACAATCACTATGACAATTGTTTTGTCCATCACCTTGACTTGTAGCCTGATGCCAGGGAGCAGGTGAATATACTGGGCCCCAAGTGTATGTTACCCCCAGTTATTCATTGTAATCTCCCCACAATAGCCACAGCTCACACATACCCAGAAGAAAGGGGGTCTTCTGTTGTAACGGACAGAGAAATATATCCTATGATGGATTTTTTAAAATTAAACCGTAATTAGTGTTTGTTGGTGTTGTAGATAAAAACATTTGTATATACACAGAGAAAAGTCTGGAAAGATACCATCCAATTGTTACCAATGCCCACCCCTTGGAAGAGAGATAAGAAAAATACATGGAGGAAAAAATTTTGCACTTTCTACATCATTTGGAATTTTAAAAATGAGAAGGTAACACCCTTATAATTTAAAAATGTTCAATATATATGCTTGAAATTGGAGAATAAAGCGTAGTTTCACGAGCCAACCTGAATGCTGTTGATGGATGAAGATAAATCCCATACTTTGAGCTCCCCAGCTACTGACACCACCAAGAGAGAATCTTCTGTAAAAACAACAAAGGTCACATATAAGCTAACCACCGTTCTAACTGATTTCTCTAAAGATTATTTCATAGTCATCTAAGGGTTATGCAGAACTATGCAGGTAGAAAATATCCAGGTTTTTTTTTTAATAAAAAATAAACATCTTAGATCACATTTTGAATCTGTTCTAAAATTTCAGAGTGACTCCCATGTAGAAGGAGACGACCACTAAAAGCAGAACCACATTGCAAACCATCATGCTGGCAATATTAATTGCACCTTCCTATCTCACAAATAAGTAAGGAGCCCGCCTTCCCTCCTTACAGAAACTGAAAAGTCACTCATCACAGAAACTGAATTCTCTTCATTACTACGTCCAGAAGATACAGCAGGGCAAAGCCAAGAGTCCTGCTAATCCACAACAAACACCTGCTTGTCACTCTTAAAATGTATCAAGCAGAACTGGGTCATGGAAATGCAGAGTCTCCTTTTCCCACTTCATCTTGAACTCTTGCTGACTTCCCAATATTTTGAACCACTGGAATGGCTGTTCCCAGTTTTTCGTGATCTGGCTTAGAGAGCTATCTCCACCAACAGATAAACATACAGAAGCATTCTGAACTCTTGCCCAATAATTTAACAAATAGCTCAAAAAAAAATCTCTTAGATAATAGCTAACTATTACCTTGAATTCTCATGGAATGAACAATGCACATGCAGTTGATCCAATCAGGAGATTGAGACGATGTGAAAGTGTGAATAATAACCAAACTTTTGGCATCAATTATAAGAATATCTTGATATTCTCCACAACATAGAAGCCAGCCTTCTCCTGTCATCCGGAATGAGCAGTGGTAATACTATGCAAGTGGAATTCAAAGCAAAAATTTCATTATCACTAGCAGTTAACGTAATTTTGCCTGTGGTGAAGACTTCTCTGGATTTTAGTCTTATCATCTATTCAATTAAGATATTAGGCTGCATAGCAACTAAAATTTCTTTTAGTTCAATTATTTCATAATTCTAAAGGGTTAATTTTGCACTTTATCTCACTTGCATGTCATCATTTTTCTGGAGAAGGGGGATCTTTAGGGAAGAGCTAATCTTATTGCAAATCATGAAAAGCTCACAATTAAATTAATTCTGGAATGCTATGTAGAACTAAACAACCACAAAAATCAGGTTCCTTATCCTAGCAATACTGCTACATGTTAAGAAGAAAGAAAAATGTCCGAAGAGTGTTTGAGGAATTCTTGTGCCAAATAAATGTTGAGAATGACTTTTATTAAAGATTGAATAATATAATCTACTCTTGACAAGCTCTCTCACTATGCAGGTTTTGATCCCAGAAAGAAGTTCATGAATGTTTCAATGCAAGTCATCAGTGCTAAAAGCAATACGTACAATATAAAAAACAGTGTCAGTACCATGGGAATCATGCAACTACTTTATTTGTATGTTTGGAGTCCATCTACCAAAAGCCAAAATCTCTTTTATGGCTATGCCTCTTGCTCTATTTTCATAAATAAGAAGTTTAGGAATTAAGGACTTATCCACCCCCAAAAGCTTAAAATTGGAAAGAAAATTTTTTTCTTTATTAAACAGTACGTCAATAAAACAAAATCATTTTGTGTGTATGTCACTGTGTGTGCTTTGTGAGTGTAACCAAGGAAAAATAAGGAAATTGTCTTTCAAATTTTTCTGTGTTAGAAAAATACAGAAAATAAAAGAAAGAATAAGATAAAAAAAATGGTTGGATAGTTACTTTGGGAAAAGAAAAAAATCTCAAAATAGCAGATGATAAGTGACACTCTTTAAGTGACATTTCTTTAAATGTGTCCTTAGCAAATCACTAAAGGAGTTGTAGAATCTGGAGATGTTCTGAAGGAAGTGGAAGTACTTACACAGATTGCACTGTGCCTGTAAGGAAGGGTGGCCTTCTCCACGCACTGTCCGTTGGTGACATTCCAAACACACATCTCCCTAGCAGAGATAACTTTGTATTATTCTCTGTCATTTCCACTCAATTGGCTGGAATAATTCTTGTGCCACCAAGTTTTTCTTTAGTGCTGCACTTAAATGCAGCCTGATCGTTTATGTGGCTTTTTGTTACAGGTTACTGGGCAAGAAAATGTTGTGGTCATTAGCAGGGATGACATTCTGTATCCGTGTCTTTTTGTTTAGGTAATTACACCCTGCCACCAGCCTACAAAACTTACTCAAGTGTCAACCTGACCTACAACAAATTGTGGGGGTACAGCTATCAGAGCCTGTGAGAGTGACAGTACAGCAATCTTTCCATGGAAACTGCATCCTCTTGAAAATGGCTCATTTCATGGAATTTAAACTACATATTCTGAAAAGTGTAATGCATCGTGTTGCATCTTCTGGAACTCAGGTATCATTTTTGTAAAAATAAACAGTGCCACCAAGAGGCCACACTTGGTCTATCATTGATATGCTTTATTTTTTTGCTTCTCCTGAAAGCATCCTTGCCACTAAATATTTAGAAAACTCTGACTTGGCTATATATATGGTACAAAGATATAGATACAGTTATGAAATACAGTTACAAATACAACTGGCATAGGGTAGTTTTAATCTGTATGATTTCAGTTCACAAAAACTGGAATGGCTGTTTCAGAGTTGTTTGGTAATATTCTTCAGTTTTGATAGTTTCAACAAAAAAGCAAAATTTTCTGTGGAAGAAAAATGAACACTTTATTGGCTTAAAAGGAGAGCTGCTATTAAGAAGCAAACGATATGGACTAATAATGATAAATGCTCTATGCATTTGGTGTTTGCTGATTTTTTTGTTCTTTTAGCCAAACACTGGAAATTAATCTTTAAGTCAGTGGTTCTCAACCTGGGATGATTTTGCCCCACAAAGGACATTTGACAACGTTGAGAGATAATTTTGGTTGTCACAACTAGGAACACGCTACTGACATCTAGTGGGGAAAAGCCAGGGATGCTGCTGAACATCTCACAGCACAGGATAGTCCCCTACAACAAAGAATCCCTCAGTGGTCTGAAATGTCAGTGCTCAGGTTGAGAAAGCATGTTCTGGACATAGAACTAAATAGTCGTAGTAGTTTTATTTCTTTCTGTTTATATCTAACTGTATTCCAAAAAGGATTTGAGGTAATCTGAAAAGGCTTGCAATTAAATAAAACGGGGGAAGGCGAGTGGGAAATGTGTGTGTGTGTATGTATGTATGTATGAAAAATAAGACTGGGAAAAGGTAGAAATTGAAATAATATATCTCAAAAGTAATACATACGGGTGTGTGTGTGTGTATATATATATATCTCAAAGATAAAGAAATGGAACTTAAGCAGCCATTGATACAAAATTTTGGCTGTACAAAAAATTGAGTTTCTTAGTGTGGTTCTCAGCTCTAGCTGTTTTAAAATTTTTCCTCAGAGATTCTAATTTCATGGCTCTGTGTTGGGGTTCTGACATCCGGGGGTTTTGCAAAGCTCCTGGCTGGTTAACCTGTTTCTAGATAACTCTATCTCTAAACTAGTGGCTCTAAACTCTGGCTACACATTAGAATCATCAGGGAGCTTTTTAAAAATACTAATGTCTGGGACCCAGTGCAGGCATCAGGCCAGGCTAATTAAATCACATTTTCCAAGGTTGGAGCCTCAGCATCAATAAAAGCTCTCCCAGTGATACTAATGTTTCTAAACTCTTGGATGCTAATGCTTTCCCTGTTTGTTTGCATATCATCTTATTTTTTTTCTTAAATTGAAAAAAAATACAAAAATATTACATAGTAAAATCGACTCTTTGCCAATCAATTCTATTTAAGAAAGAAAAGCAAATCTGTTGTATATCAAAAGTAGTTTCAGCATTTTAGCTGAAACTGTACAAGTTGCATACCTAATAAAAAGACATGAAAATCAACTATTAAAATGAATATTCTTCTTTTCCTTTTCAAACACTGTCCCCAAACTTTGGACATAGATTAAATCACCTTCAATTATAAAAAAAAATAACAATTTCAAATTAAAGGAATATTTTTATTTCAATAAAAAATGGAGGAAAAAACTACAACATGTAAAATCAGAAAATTATTAAATTCCTGCTACAAGTTCCTTGAGAAAGGGCCTTTTTTCTTATTCAAACTTTACATCTCCACCTGAGCACCTCAGTAAAAATTCATTCAGTGGATACGTAAGTCACTACTCTTTCATCCACTTTCTATCTTTCAGAAATGCACTATTTTCTCTTGGCCCCTTTCCTCTTCTTATATTTGTGTGATTATCATACTCTCATTGCTTTGCTCGAAGTTTAATGAAACATCTAGAAGGAAAGGAGATAAACATCAAAGGTTGGTTTGCCATCTTGAATTACAAGTCCATTGTTTTCTTTAGACTCTCTTTAATTATACTTTTGGGTTTCCTTTGGCATTCTCAGACTCCTTTCTTGTTATGCCTGTTTCTTAAATGCTGGTTTTCCTTAGATTTGTGTCTTAGGCTTTCTTATATTCTCATATTTCCCACTCTCTCTGAGTGAGTTATCCACTCTTGACTTCAAGTGCCATCTGTAAGATGTTGGAAACCCAGACCTATTCAGTGGGCTCTAAGCTTTCCACACGCAACTAGCAATTAGATGTCTGCACCTGGATGACTTGGAGAACTTCACACTCCTTGTATTCAAAATGAAGCAAAACATCTTCGCTGCTTTGTTCCCTATTCGCAGTGAAAGGTATCATTACCAATGAGTTTTCCAAGTCATTCTTGATCTCACTTTTTCTCTCACTGACCCAAGCATGGGGCACTCACTATTCCAAATATATTTCTCTGAACCAGCAGCATTGGCCTTGTCCAGGAACATGTTAGAAATGCAAGTTCTTGAACCTCAGCCCTGATCTACTGAACCTGTGCCTCCAGGGATGGGGCACAGAAATCTGTATTTAAACAAACTCTGAAAGTGGTCCTGATGCAGGCTCAGGGTTGAGGAACACTAGCCTAGAAGACCCTAAGACTGGGTGCCTGCCTGCCTAACTCTCAGCTCTTGCTGGTGGTTGGAAGTTTTATTAATAAATAATAACCCTCTGTATCAATGTCAAGGCTTTTGTGACATGTGTATTAATATATTAACACAGCTATATCAACATAATTTTCATTAGTATCCATCTGATAAATCTTTTTCCATCCATTTACTTTTTTTTACATTTTTTATTGAGTTATAGTCATTTTACAATGTTGTATCAAATTCCAGTATAGAGCACAATTTTTCAGTTATACATGAACATACATATATTCATTGTCACATTTTTTTTTCACTGTGAGCTACCACAAGATCTTGTATATATTTCCCTGTGCTATACAGTATAATCTTGTTTATCT